AAATTATTTACCCAAAAATGACGATTTTTATTTTTTTCATAATTAATTTAAGCAAAACAATTATAAGACTAGTAACATAATAAACTAAAAGTTAAAAATAAAAATAAAAATAAAAATAAAATGTTACAATATATCTATACTATATTATAAAGCATTTGATAAAAACTCTTAAAAACCGTTTTTTATGCATGAAGTACTGTTTATTGTTGCATATTACTTAAAATTCAAGATTACAAGTAATTTTGTGTAAGTACAACTTATTAAAGCTTCATTTTTAAATTTGTGTAAGTAACTACAAATAAACATAATCAAATAGGATAAACATTCATTTTAAATATATAAAATCCAAAATATAATTAAGATAATCATTGAGTTCTAACATAATGTTTAATTATTCTCTTTATAAAAAAAGATATTTTTAAACCAAAAATAAATTACTTTGTTATTAAATCTAAATTAAATTATAATAAAAAATTGAATTAAAAAAGTTATATCATAAAAACGAAAACTATTAAATAGTTAATTTGATACTAATATCGATTTTTTTTATAATTTTTATCTTATCTTCAAATTTATATTTCATTCAAAAATATAAACATTACCGATTTCTCAAAACCACATAAAATCGTATTATATCGATAAAGACAAATAATTAAAACTAAACATTAAAATGAAGATTTATCTCGTTACATTGCACGTGTATCCTTCTAGTATTAATGGTGAATTTGAACTAAAAAATATTTTTTATTCATAATCTTCTTTGAATTGTTTGATAATATATATATATATATATATATATATATATATATATATATATATAAGAGCAATCAAATAAAAATCGTCTCCATTTGTGTAAACCGTGTAAACCAATCTCACCTATCCATTTTCTTGATCAATGATTAAGATTAATCAAGGTTATTTAAGGAAATTAAAAATAAAAAAATAAAAAATACATTTTATAATACCGATAAGGGCAAAAGGGTAAAACCAAATATTATTAATGAAACTAATTTATTTTTTGTAAAGTAATTTATTATTTTTACGTTAACATTTTTACGTTAAAATTTATTATTATTAATGAAACTAATTTATTTTTCATCTTCCAATTATTTCATGACGAACCGTTACATTATGCACCCGTTTCATTTTTCATTTCATCTATTGAATGGATCACCTACACCATCACTGAAACGGGTTTCACCATGAAAGCAGTTCACCACTCATTGTTCAATTACACCATGAACCAGTTTCACCTTCATGAAACCTGTTTCATGTAAATTAATTTTTTTTATTTCACTCATGATTTGATGCATTATTTTCTTTAATCTTTACAATCTTCAAGATTCTTGAGCAGATTACAATCTTCAAGATCCCGAAGCAGATTCATCATGTACCTGTTTCATCATGCAATTATTTTTTGTCAACTTGTCGCATCATATAGGTCCTCGCATGACAAAATAAGATAATCCCATTTTTCCTCGCAACACACTGGTGCAAGGTCCACAACTTATCGCATCACATTAACACTATAAATCCAATCTTCTCGCATCATCCATGCGATAAACCAATTTGACGAACATGCAATAACCACGCAAATGAGACAACTCTAAGTTATCGCATCATAAGGATGCGATAATTTTGAACACTTGACCAAACCCCAGTTTTTATAATTCAATGATTATGTCACACTTACCTTGGTATACATCCCTCCTTGATATGTCACCCTTATTTCTACATTTGATGTAATCATAACAATAACCCACAGTCTATGCCAAATTCTAGCATCAAAACAGTTTTAACAACAATTTCATATAAAAAACCATACGGTTCTAAATCCAGTTTCCAAATAATAAAAGTTTATACAATTTAAACCCACCTTCATCACAAAAAGATGAATAACACTAATCTTCCATGTAGAAATCACATAATTAATTGAGTTTTTTCCACCACCTATTTTCTTTGAACAAGAAGCACCGTCGTAAAAACTTTTCACCAACTTTTCTTATTAAAACACATATCAATTCAATGATATAAATGAAATTATCTCATTATATTAAAAATAAGAGTAAGGCGGTGGTGTGATTGCTTTTTTAAATTATTTAAGCATAATAACCATGATAAACCCTTAACTTACCATTAAAATTCGTAAATCACCCCAAACTTTCTAACCTAAGAAAAACCCTGTTATAACAAATACTTACATTATATAATTATACTCATTATTATTATTATAATAAAAAATAAAACATAAAAAATGTAATTAATTATATATGTAACGATAAGATAGAAGGAGATATAATATATTAAAGTGATTATAATATTGTAATAAAAATGATTAAAAAGATTCTCAAAGGTCGGTCTAAAAGAACTCCCAAATCATTGCAGTCCCTCCCTCAGTCCCAATCCAACGGTACCAACGAATATCTTATTCCCACGTGGCAGCATCCAAGCAACTTGGAGGCGCCTTACACGTATGATGGAAAATGGGGCCCTATCCTCAAACCGTTCACCGGATGCAACCGGCTACTTTTCTGCCCCAATGGTTGCATTGAAGAACACTATATATAACTGTCACTTAACCAAGTCCAGTGCAAGCATACAAGAGAGGAAAAGGATACATACAATCTTCCAAGTTCCAGCCCCTCTCAAATTCAACAACTTTTGAATTTAAAAGTGGGCAAAATGCCAATTTCCAGTATTGCAATCGGAACTCCGGCCGATGCTAGTTCGCCGGATGCCCTGAAAGCCGCCCTTGCTGAGTTTATTTCAATGCTCATTTTTGTTTTCGCTGGCGAAGGTGCTGGCATGGCATTTGGTAAGATCGTTGTATCGCTTAAGAGACATGAAATATGTCACTTATTCTCGTTTTTTGGGGGCCCCCCAAAAAAATACTTACCTTTTGATAGTTTCATTAAGAGGCAACCTCTGAATCGAATCTTGTTTGACAAAAAAAAAAAAAAACTGCCTCTTAATGGTTCTAAAACCCTCTTAATGATTTTGTATCCCGGATCTCCCTTATCCATTAGGAGCCCTAATTTCATTGTACACAATTACCAAACAATTATATTTCATTTGCCACTATATCATGAGATCCTCTTAACCATTCTAACCACTTGATCATTCTGCACCAAACTATTCAGCAATTGCCAAACAACCCCTTATTTTCATGAAATGAGAATTTAAAGATGTGTGGTTTTCTTCTGCAGGCAAGCTAACGGATGGTGGAGCAGCGACACCGGCTGGTCTTATTTCAGCATCAATAGCACATGCTTTTGCGCTGTTTGTGGCTGTGTCAGTTGGTGCTAACATCTCTGGGGGTCACGTGAACCCTGCTGTAACGTTTGGGGCGTTTGTTGGTGGCCACATTTCGTTGTTGAGGAGTGTTTTATATTGGATTGCGCAATGCCTTGGCTCTGTGGTTGCTTGTTTGCTTCTAAAGATTGCAACCGGTGGTTTGGTAAGGCAGTGACCAATATTTCTAGCTCACTACAATGAAATCTTTCCCCCCATAGATGGCTAGTTCGAATCTCCTCAGGACCACCAAAGACTCCTGATAGTTATCTTTAGGACCCCATGGGATTAGTCATCTGGACACTCATGGTTACAATAAAAAAAAAGGAAAACACTGATTTTTATCTGGATTTTGTGCAGGAAACGTCAGCTTTTGCTCTTTCCGCGGGTGTAGGTGAATGGAACGCAGTGGCGTTTGAGATAGTGATGACTTTTGGACTGGTCTACACCGTGTATGCAACAGCAGTTGATCCTAAGAAGGGAGATTTGGGGATCATTGCACCACTAGCCATTGGATTCATAGTGGGTGCAAACATCTTAGCTGGTGGTGCATTTGATGGTGCATCCATGAACCCTGCGGTGTCCTTTGGTCCAGCTGTGGTCAGCTGGACGTGGAACAGCCATTGGGTCTATTGGCTAGGCCCATTTGCGGGTGCGGCTATAGCTGCACTTGTCTATGAGGTGATCTTTATTGGCTCAAGTACTCATGAGCCTCTCCCAATCACAGATTACTAAGAATCAAGATTTCGCTCTCACACAGATGGAGGAAGTTGGTGGGGAAGGAACGAGTTCTTAGGTTTTTTAATTGTGTTCTTCTTTGTGGGGTGTAATGGAAGTTGGTTTGTTTTAGTTTTTGAGCCTGGTGAGAAGTCTTTTGGCTATGTACTCATGTATAGTTTTCATTGTCTTGAATCAAGTTGTGAATTTTATTCATTTTGGGTCACTTTAAACTTCCAATCGTACACTTTCACCTAATTTCTTATGCACAGATTACCATGTATATGCACATCATTTTAAGCATGAAGCCAATACGATGTTTTTGAAGAATTTGTGGACTAAACACATAATTGAATCTAGTGTGTAATACTATAATGTGCAAGTATTTGAATGCTTCATTTGGATATGGTCTAAAAGGCACATATTTGAATACACAAAGATAACAGCTATGCAGAAGGGAGGCATCACCTCAACTTACTGCGGACCAAATAATATGAATCCTCACTCTCTCTTTTTCTCCTTATTGCGTGGACGTAGTTTTGAACGGCGTTGCTTGAACAAATAGAGATACAGTTGCAACCATAGAAATGGGTAGCAGATGAGAACCGCCTGGCTCAACAAATTTTGAGAACAAGAAGAAAGTTATAAGCTATAAGAGTAAAATTTACCTAAAAAGCAAACTGCTTTTTTCCTTTTCTTCCATTGAATGCTAATAAACGATGCATACTTGTTTCGTATGGTTCATAAAACATTCGAATATGGACCAAAATTTACAACCTTCAGGTAACACTTCAATGGAGCAAGTGAAGGGGAAAAAACGAAAAGCACATATGGTAGATACCTTGACAAATGCGTGGTAGCTGAAAGGCATGGCAGAAAAGTAATCTCCATAAAGGTTTTTCTCCATGATAACCGGGAGTGCTTGGTACATCAGCCACACTATTTAGTAGTATTGAATAGAAGAAATTTAAAGAAAAAGTTGGTCAGAATATGCAATGTGCACGATTGAGAAAATGTCATACAAGGTAACGCAAGCCACTTACTTTCACCCACAACCCCAATTGGATAAATCACGATGAAAACTGTATACCTTCAAAATAAAAACAATCTTCATTTTCTCAATTGAATATGAACCTTCAATTTCCAAAGTGTTTCTGTGTACAAGCTTGAGAAAGTAAATACATAGGTTAATGTGAAATGAGATGAACCAAACCTGAGGTAGGTAAGGAAAGAGGGGCAGTTACCCAAGCAGCTCAAAGCATAGAACGGATACCTAATTACCTGGTTCCATGAAATTGATCAAAGCACTCTCAATTCAGCACACGAGTTCACTTCTAATGGGATTAGATAAAGAAGGTATACATAACATGGTATTATATAGCCAAAAAGGAGAATCCTTCACAGAGATCAGTACTCTCTTGAGACCTAAGGAATAATAAGTATGGTGCAAGTCAAATTGTTCTCTTAGAACCTTAGCAGATGATATAAAATGTAAGAGAACTTCTTCATCATCAAGGGTTCCACTCCCCTAAGAATTATGTCATCTATAAATTAAAATGTTTATTGGATGAAGTTTCACTTACATGTCTCTTCACATGCTATAGACGGTGCAAGCAGTTCAATGCACCTTCTTAGGAAACTTTCCTCAATAAGTACAAAAAACTTCATTAAGAGAGCTTGATACTTTTTTGTTACTAGAAAATAAAACAAAATCTAGCAAAAGAATTCATGAAACTTGATTGCTAGTAGTTAAATGTCGCTAATTACTTCTTTAAGAAGCTTATTCTGTGTGCTGAACTACAAAATAAGCATAGAGAGAGAGAATTTACCTCAATGCAACACCAAGCAACAAATGTAATGAAAACCACTGGTAATTCATGAACCTACATGAAGAAGCTGAAAGACTAAGACGACAGCCATTAGGAAGAAAATGAGCACATAAAGGCAGAAACTTCAAAGATGTTCAAAATTCACCAGATTCATATCTCCTTTATTTGTCACTCTAATTGATAATGTAGCTTGAGTTTAGCATAAAAATATTTGCAATATATGTAGTTACACAAGATGCATAGAAGAAGACAATACAAACCTCATCTATTCGACGAATAATTGCAAGAAGGAAATGTGTCCTTCCTCCCCATTGCATCAGAGGGAATAAAAATCCACTAGGAACAATACCTTGAGCATAAAGCAGGAAGCTTAAGAAGTATAATTTCTTAGATCAAGATTTATTAGCCACATACCAGAATAAATGAAGGTTTGAGGACTTATATTGTTCTTCAGTACTCACCTACCGCTCCATGTATCACTTCTATGAATCCAAGAGTTTGTAGCAAACCTGTTTCAGAACAATAAGAAGATACACATCATAATGCTGCAAAGTATGTAACAACATACGTTCATAGTTCCAGAATCAGAAGATATCGTGACAATTGACACACAATTCCCAAAATCCAAGTTTAACAAACTGATACAAATGATATTCATTTAATCACGTCACATGCAAATATGCAATCACTATGAAAAGAAGGAACTACACCTCAAATTAAATTATTAAAATACCTTTTACCGACTGTTATCGATTACAAATTAGTCAAATAGAGTCCAGTTTAGTGTATATTGACAGGATTTCCGACTTTTACTTCTCACATGTCACAAGAAACAGCATGATTATTGTTGCAACTCTTGATTTCAAAAGCTTAATCTTAAGATTGCAAGTTTCGATTTAGATACAGAAAATATATCTCTGGTTTAGTAATCGAGGTAGCTAGGCATTGTTAAGTGAATCAACATACCTCTTCAGATTTTGAAAATGTAACTCCGATCCGGGAAACTGAAGTAGAATATGCAGTGTTTAGTATAGTGACTTACAAATTAGTTCTCCGGCGGAAGCGTACGCACCGTTGATCGACTTTGTAGATAAGAAGTCGATTGAAATTCTAAATAAAGCAACTGCCCTGCAATTTTTCCAAACAATGTAAGAACAGTGCGTGTGTGCGTTCGCAGTGGAGAGAGAGAGAGAGAGGAAGATGAACACTCGTACCATCCGAAAGCTTGAACGGAGTTGTAACAGAAGAGATAGAGATTTGAGAGACGCGCCATCGGAAGTTATGGACGTGGCTGCAACTCCACCGCCGGGAACGGTGTATTCCGTTGAGGAGGGAGAAACTGTTCAAATGATTTTGAGAATTCAATTGTGTCCATATCAGGGGGCTGTGGTATGTGATGGTCGTTGTTCCATATCGGGAGGATAGGTGAAGGTGAAACCATTGAATAGGGGTATAATTGTCTTTCGACAGTAAAGTTTTACCTTTTCAATTTCTACCCTGAAGTTTAATACCTTCAACATTCAACACAAGAAGTTCGATTTTCTACCTCTAAACACTAAATCAAAACTTGAACAAACATTTTTTCTATTTATGTTTTAAAATATTATTTCAAATGGGTTCATATTCAAAAATATAGGGATGAAGACGGGAGAGAACACTAAAGAGAAAACGGAGTACTCATCCAAACTGTTAGATTGAGATGATCTAGTGGATGGAATTAAATGATATTTGGCCTAGTAGTATTGTAGTCTTTGACTTCTTAGAAGATCAGAGATTCAAACCTCATCAAAAGTGAAAAGAGTATGTGAGTTTATTTGTTATATTTACCGTATATATATGATCTAGTGGATGAGATTAAAAATGTGGTTATAACCACATCTTTTTTCAAAAGTTACAAATACTTTCCCCTAATTTTTAAATCAAAAATCAGTGAAAACAACAAAATTTTGAGCAAGAAAAATTACATAAAAAATGTTTATTTTATTATCTTTAATTTGACATCTATTTTGATAAATTTTTTATCCATTTTTATTGGTTCTCTGTAATATTTCTAATGTTAGTATGTGTTGTAAGACAAAATATAAAAGTATTTATAAAAAATCTGTTGGGCCATAAACAAATATCGATTTGAGTTTGGGATACAAATTATGATAAATTAGAATCAAGGGATACAAATTATAATAAATTAGAATCAAGGGATTAATCCTAATATTATACGGTCAATGCAAAATAATTCAACCTCAAGCAACTTGATTTTTAATCGAGTTGTAAAATCTTTAAATCGTAAGTATTGAGTTAATGTTATTTGAACCCAACTCAATCCAACCCGATGAATCCGAAATCATTTTATTTCTTGATTTTAAATTATTGTTGAATCTTTATTAGTATGTACATTAAACAATAACAACATCACGTACCCTCTTCATCTATATATATTTTCAATATATTATCCATCCATATATAACTAGCTCATTTGTATACATGTTTAGTAATTGTGAATATATACTAGGTTCGACCCCGTGTATTACACGGGGTATTTTTTAAATGAAAAAAAACTCTGACATTAACTTTGAAAGAAAACTCTGAACATTTACTCTAAAACACAAGAATTCAGAGTTCTATTGTTAGACTGAAAAATTACTCTGGACTTAACTCTGAATAAGAGGAATTCAAAGTTGTCTTCTAAGTCTAGAAAGTATCTACGAGCATAACTTTAAGTCACAAGAATTTTGACTTCTTATAACTCAGAAACGTAACTCTTAACTTCAACTCTGAAGAGCAGTTTAGAGTTCTATTCTAAGTCTGGGAATAAACTATATAATTAAGTTTATAACAGAACAATTCAGAGTTATGTTGTAAATCTGAGAAATATCCAATATCTGATGACTTCATGTTGGTGATTTGTATCACTAATATCATATAAGTGTAATGAGATTAAATTGTTGACCAATGTAATCATGATAAATATCGAACAGGTAAGGTAGGTGCGGAATGCACACTTGTTTGAGTTTATTTTGATTTAGGGGTGAAGCCCCTAATGAAAGGGTTCGCCCCTAACAAAAGGGGTCCGGGCGCAGCGCCCCCGGCTGGGGTCGAGTTGCCAGTTCAGCTTGGAATTTTTTCCCCCGGGTAATATTGCTTTGTGAAAAATGCTTCAAAAATCCGAATTTGAAATTTTAAAACCGGTTTTGATGACCACTCCAAAGTTAAATTCAGACTTACAACTCTAAATTTTTCCAGAGTTATATTGTAAGTCTGGAGGTCACTTCAGACTTAAATTCAGTTAAAACACGAAAACAGGAAAATAAACGTGTAGAGGGACATATATCACTTAAATAAACCTATTTGAACGGTAAGTGAAAATTGTGTCTAGATACATGTTTAGGCGAAAAAAAATCAATAACCGTCGCACAGAAACATGACACGTGTCCCCAAAGTTACTTATTTATTAAGTATATAGATATGGATGTTATAAATTAATTAACTTTATATTATTATTAGTTAATAAGGTATTAATATTCTTTTAATCATTATATAAATTAATTAACTTCACATTATTATTAATTAATTAAGTACTAAGAGTACATGTTTTTCAATTTTTTTCCCAGATAATATTGCTTTGTGAAAAATGCTTCAAAAATCCGAATTTGAAATTTTAAACCCGGTTTTGATGACCACTCCAGTGTTAAATTCAGACTTACAACTCTGAATTTTTCCGAAGTTATATAGTAAGTCTGGAGGCCACTTCAGACTTAAATTCAGTTAAACCATGAAAACAGGAAAATAAACATGTAGAGGGACAGATGTCACTAAAATAGACCTATTTGAACGGTAAGTGAAAATTGTGTATAGATACATGTTTAGGCGGAAAAAAATCAATAACCGCCGCACAGAAACATGAACGTGTCCCCAAAGTAACTTATTTATTAGGTATATAGATATGGATGTTATAAATTAATTAACTTTATATTATTACTAGAAGCGTACTCGCGCAATGCAGCGAGATACATCGTGATTTTAATATTTCATTTTATTCTTTATCTCAGTCGATGTTATAATATGACTTTATATGATTTTGAGAAATCGATGATGTTTTTATTTTTGAATAAAATATATGTTTGAAGATATCATAAAAAATTGACAAAAATATATC